AAAAGCAGAGACATCACCCTGCCAACAAAAGTGCATATAGTCAAGGCTATGGTTTTCCCAGTTGCAATGTATGGCTGTAAATGCTGGACCATAAGGAAGGCTGAGGGCCAAAGAATTGAGGCCTTTGAATTGTGGTGCTGGAGGAGACTCCTGTGAGTCCCTTGGACTGCAAGATGATCAAACCAGTCAGTCCTAGAGGAGATCAACCCTGACTGCTCTTTAGAAGGCCAGATAGTGAAGATGAAACTCAAATACTTTGGCCACCTAAGGAGAAGGAAGGACTCCCTGGAGAAGAGCCTAATGCTGGGAACATTAGATGGCAAAAGAAGAAGGGGACAGCAGAGAATGAGGTGACTAGATGGAGTCACAGAAGCAGTCGGCGTGAGCTTAAGTGGACTCTGGAGGATAGTGGAGGACAGGAAGGCCTGGAGGAATGTTGTCCATGGGGTCGCGATGGGTCAGGCACGACTTTGCGACTAACAACAACAACAATAAGCGTTCACCAAAGCTAAAACATTTTTTCAGTGTTTGGGAAACTCCTCTGGTTTCTTGTCCTAAAGTTTCTTTGGCTTTAATTTGATCTTCTTTTAAAAGCATGCATTGGTCAAATTTACTATATTTCTCACCATTCATTTCTGAATATGTTTTGAAGAAGACAGAATAAAGAGTGCATGCAGCAGGAAGAGCACAGACATTGTTGACTTGAAAGAAGATTGCCTTGCCACGGTGCCATGGACTGAGCTAATTTTCCCTTGAGGGAAAGGGTCAGTCATCTGAAGTAGCACTTCCAAACCAGAGCCACGCTTTAAATACTAGAGAGGCAGTCATTGCCTGTCCTGAGCTACACTGGTAATTGTTATGCTACAAGGGACCAGACATCTCCAACAGATTTATCATTTATTTACTTATTATTAAACTTATATTCGACTATATTGGTCCAAGGGCCCTCTAAGCGGATAACATCATGCCAATAAAAACAAGTAATACTCCATAGGCCAAAGACAATAAAACAAAACTGTACATAGCTGAGGGCTAATAATTTCTCAGCATCTAAAGCAGTCCCCAGTATTCTGTCTGGAAAGACACAAGAACATACGCAATGGATGGATCCCTCAGAGAGTGACTGAGAACATCCACACTTCATACTACAAAGAAGAATGCACTTGAGATGCATCTCATTTTGTAGACACTGGAATCAAGGATGTCAGTTATTTCAGTGGCTTCTTCACACTTACGTCAATATTATGACCTGCACCTTCCACTGTTCCTGAACTGTGACGTCTCTTTGACCACAGTCAACTTGCTTACACTGGCACAGATCTGCTGGCATAAATCAGCTTGATGGGATGCAGATAAGCTGAAGAGATGTTTTAATCTTTCATGAAATATTGTTCAGAAGTTGAAGGAAAGCAGTATGCAGGTGTAAATACTCACGTGCTTCTCATGTTTCCCACCAAATATTATTTGTTGGTTGTAATTTACGGTTCTGAGGAGCATCACTGTTCTCCTCTGCTTTCAGAAGCAGGAAATAGTATGTCGTTGATGCCCAACTCCTATCAGCCCCAGCCATTATGACTAATGGTCAAGAATGATGGAAGGTTTAGTTGAAGAACATCTAGAAGACCAAAGTTTTCATGCCCTGTATGGAAGGCACCTTCCTTTGTAAATGTTTCAGAAACTTAAAAGAATGTGCTCCAAGAATGAACAGGTAGCTACCTCTTCTGGTGCTGAGAACAGAAGAAAATCCCATGTCTCCTCTCAAGAGCACAGAAGCATTCATTGCTCTTCAGCGTGAGACTCCGGCATTGCTGCTTTGGGGCTGGTTAGTATTATGATGCACAACTCCCAGTTACGGTTACCTAGGTTTTGGCTGAACTTGGAGACAGTGAGAAACTAAACAGACAGAAAATTAAGTGAAAAGAGAGGTTCGGTCCCAGTAGGATATCATTGATTGGACTGTTTCTATTAGCAGCACTGGGAGGGAGAGAGGGAGGGCTTGGAAGTGCTCCAGAGCAGTTTTTTTAAGAGGCATGGAGTGATGCCAGGAGAATAGAAAAGTCCTGAAACACTAGCAGGTTTCTGCTCATGCTGCATTTATTTATTTGCATTGGATTTAAGCAGATGGGCAATCTCCTGTGGTGTCATTCTATTAACTAGTTCTAGTGGAGTTCTGTCACATCTTTCTGTACACCAAGTGGCCACACAAGCATTGCTTGTGCATTGGGTTGCACAAATGTTAATGCACATTTGCTTGTGCAACTGAGTTTGAAGAAATGTAACTGGATTCATGCCTTGCATGTAACTTGGAATTTAGGTACAGCATCTTTTCCACTAGAGGAATGACAGATACTACCTATTGGACCAAATAGAATGTCAGTTTCTAAGAGTAAATGTCAAAGATGCAGTACCTCTGATTCAGTGCATATGAAACCAATGCAGAAACCACAGAATGTTTATAAATGTTTTAAGTTTAATTTAAGCAACTTTACTAGTGAGGGATCTTAACCCATGATCTTTACAAATTCTTGTCTGCCCTTATGCATGCCACTCAAAGTTAAGGGAATTATTAAATTTCAGATGCACAGTAGATTCTTCTTAGCCAATGCTCAAACACAGAGAAAATTTACTTTAAATCTATTTCACACGTGTATAAGAATAGTGCATGCATAGTCACTCGATTACAATTTAAAAACGCCAAAACCAAATGAAAAAGTTACTGTTTGTTAGCAAGTACCCAGGAAGACCCTTTTATTCCAGGGATGGCTGGGTGTTACACAGTCGTTGC